CAATTTGAGAACATGTATGTTATTATCCACTTTTAACGTCAATACTTTTAAATTATATTTCAATGTCAGTACTTTTAACATATGGTAAAAAGTAATGTGTATTGCTGGTCTTTGACCATAATAAAGATTTATACTTATACTGTAGAAGCAAAAAGAAAAATAATTTTGGCCTCATTCATCCACCAAAAGAATCTGGGCCACCAATTGCTATTTGAGTGAGAACACTTGATATGGGACGATCAACCTAGTCCTAGTCCAAAAGCTAATTTTAAACCATCTGGTTCTGGGGTTCAGGAATCCCCCCCTTTTCTCCTTCCCTATATCTGCTAATACTAAGACTCAGGTGTCTCCTAAAGCGACTACATTGTATATTGTGAACTCAAATGTAAAGATTTCTAATTTCCTGGTAGAGGGCTTGACCTCCATATAATAACATCTGGCTATTCACATCTTAGAAATCCCCCAAAGAATGAAATTGGTAATGTGAAACCTACCTCCTAATGATCAATTTTCTAATATGTCTATTCTTTTTTCTTTCCAAGCCTGGTTGGAAGCTTATTTTCTTTTTCTCTCAAACTCTCTTTGAATTGCAATGAGCCACTGAGCAGAAAGAAAAAGTGAGAAAAAGATTAACACAATCAAAATAGGGAACAATCTTGAAGAAGAGTACTGTAAAATTGTTGGCCATATCCATTGAAAGGGCACTTCTGTCCAGAACAGTTCTGTTTATTGTTAGCCAATTCTACTGATCTATTATATTCCATAGGAATAAGGAATTTTGCTTCCAGAAAATATAACTCACCCTGCTAAGAATATTATATTGTTCCTATTTTTAAAACAGTAAACTACCCAGAATTATCTGGGAGTCTTAAAATTGCTTGAGAGAGGGGAAGGCTGCTACGTAATATGTGAGATAAATTAGGCACATTAAAACAATGTTATTATTTGGCCCACACAGAATTGCCAATGTTACTTTAGATATTGTGATATGATATACAGTGGTTGAAAGGCAACACAAAAAACAATGGAATTTGTAGATGATTAAAAGTGAAACACAAATTGAGGAAATGTAAAGTTCCTCATTAATTGAAGTTGCTGTAATTTTCTGACAGACTAACTTTAAATTATTACTATTTTAAATGAAACCATATAACTACAAGACCTTGAAAATTTTGCTTTGGAGCGAAAAAAGTAATTTGGATGGCATACGTGGACAGGCGCAATGGTATGTGGGAATGGCCTTTGGAAACAGAGGGAAAAGTAGTACCAGACCAGATTAGCATCCCAAGCGGTGTTTAGATCTGGCCGCAGGGCTGCTCTGGAAACAGCAAAGGACCACGCCACAGTGCCTCTGCCAGCAGAAATGGAGCTCAGGAGGGCCCTCCCAAGTTCTGTTTCCACTGGCAGAGGGTTGCAGGAGGCTGTCACAGCCGAAAATGGAGCTTGGGAGCCCATTTTCGCTGGCAGAGTGCTCAGGCAACCACAGGCGTCTCTGACATTAGTGATGTCAAACTGGCCACGTCCAGCCTGGCCACGCCCACCCTGGCTCCCCGAGGTCAAACACAGCCCTGATGTGGCCCTCAATGAAATAGAGTTTGACATCCCCCATCCTACAATAAAACATGCCTTTTATCTGGATTGCCTTGCAATATCAATAATAGGTGAAAAGGTGCCATAGGCTGCTTCACCCCAAGAACAAAGGCAGACAATTTAGCTCAGAAAAGCAAAGGTCATATTTCAAGGGTGGACTGTTGAACTGAATATGCCCGACTGTGGTGGAATGAGCAAGCAAACCAGCACTTTAAAATCCCTCTATTGTAGATGCCGATAAATGTATGCAGTATGAGCACAGATGCTTGCTTCTTTATGCAACTGTTTTGAAAACATGTTGAAGATTAAAGAAATAAATCTATCAAAAGCATTGGATTGGTTAGAAAGCATAATAATATAAATTGTTAGCATAAAAGCTTAATGTTTTGGTGATGGACATTAAAACTGTAAAAGAAGAAAAACCGATCACAAATCCTGAAAAATCTCTTGAGAATCAGAAGGCAAAAAAAAGGGGGGGGGGAATGAGGCAGATGTCTACCTGTATTACTTCCAAATGTTTTCAGCTTCAGGCAGAGACATACATAGAGATAAATGGTTTCTCCAATCAAATAAAGCAGATCTTTATTTCTCATGATGGAGGAGGAACTGGAAATGAGGGAGTAGACTGGCTTTTCTTTGAATTTGTGTAATGAATGGAAGCTTCTGCTCCATGGGTTCATTGAGGCCAAACTTTGCAAACCACAGATCCTCCATATGCAACTAAAGGGTAGCATCCACAATATAGTCAGTGTGGAAACCTATGAGCGATTACAGGCTGGTGTGGCAAGTCTGAAACCAGACCTAATAGAAGTTGAATCCCAAATCTAAATTCTGGGGAAATTGTAAAGATCAGAGAAAGGAAACTGATTTTTTCATCCACTATATTTGTAATTATAAATTTTAATTTTTATCTGTGGTTTTCCCATTTACAGTAACATGCAGATGCAGATACCTTCAAATACTGGGAAGGAATTTCCTCTTTCTGACTCTTTCTGAATTTGTTTTCAGTTTCCAAAATTCAGAATTCTTCCCTGTAAGTACAGCAGTCAATGTTGAATGAGATGAATGTGGCCTTTTAAAGACTTGTTACATGAAAAGATATTTTCAGTCATTTGACCAATGCTCTCATATGTTCACACATACACAGCAAGGAAATACAAATGTAATGATGTGAAATCTCAACCAGTTTTGGGGTTTTTTAGCAGCCTTATGTCCAACATTGGTCATAACTGCAGTTGGTGAGCTTTTTATGTCACCTAAGAAAAGAGTTTTTAAGGCACAAGAGGGGAAAGGGAGAAAAATGCATTTCACTGAGAAATTAATGGTCACCGTGACACTATAATTCATAGGCAACAACTATAGTTCAAATGATTATTTAACAGTATTGGTGGCACTGAAATTCCCTTTTTCTTAATTTGCCCAAAGTAGCTAATGCAATAAAAAATAAGAAGCGTGGATAAAAATAGCAAAATAAAATAACATAAAGTTTGATGCTTCATTTTAATCACAATGCATTTAACACGTTACTTTATTAGTACCTATGTATTTTTTCTAGATCCAAAATTACAAATCAGTGAAAACTCTAGAAAGGTTTATTTGATACACCCAAGGATTTGATGTGGTCATGCAATTTTCATTCATGTGATAAAAGAAATAAAGCTTTTTGAAATACAAAAATACAGCAGCAGAAGCGTGCTGGGCCCATAACCAGTGTTAGGGGTATCTCCATTGGGAGACAGAGAGTAGCGCAGCGGAATGTACAGCGAGAGAGAAGGAATGTTGCTAGTAGAAGAAACACATGAATAGAGTCTCAGACACTGCTAGTAAAAACAAGTAGCTTTACTACTAACAATAGCTTCACAAGCAGTGATAGTAGATATTAGCCCAAACACAATTCAAAGAAGAAAACAATTGCTTACAATCGCAGTTCACGTTCCAGTCATCAAATGAGCAAGTAGTCATCAAGCATAGGACAAGCAGAGAGCGAGAGAGTGAGCTTTCCTGACTCCCTCTTATTGCAAAGTTAATTACAGCCAATTATAAAGTCAATTACAGCTGATAAGTACATTCACCCATTTAAAGCAACATCGACCATTTGGTATTGTATATGAAGCTATATTGCCTACCCAACACTAGGAGTATACTCCCAGCAGCTATAATATACAGTTTGGGTTGCTTTATTTACCACCCCTCCTGCCTATTGTAACACCGCCTTATTTTCCCTTTCTTTCCTCCCTCCCTCCCTTCTCTCCTTCCTTGTTCCTAGGTGAGTGTAGATTCTTGATTCTTACCTTTAAGCATTTTGACTGCTACGGTGCTACAGGTAGTCGTTTTGTCAATTCCAAATGCGTCAGCTTCGATCACCTGACCAAACGCGCCTCTCCCGAGGGGCTTTCCTGGATACATAGGAAAAAAGTAAAGAGGGGTATTTATCCCCAAGTGGCAGGAAAGAAATTTACACATTCCATTTTAAAAAAAAGTGTGGAAGGAAAGAGTCTGAGAATGCTATCCTAGTTGGTGATCCTTGCAAATATGTTTCAGTACTGGCCGCGGAAATTTTGTCATCAAATCAAGAATAGGATTGTATTATTTTTGAAGATATGAGATTATTTTATATGATCTACTGGTCTAGGGAAGGAGATGCAGGAGACTCAGGCACGCAAGAATAAAAGCTCAACTCTTTGCCTTAACTAGATCCCTATTATTTAGCTACAATCAATCAATCAATCAATCAGAATAGAGCTGGAAGGGACCTTGGAGGTCTTCTAATCCAAACCCCTGCAGTTCCCACGGTTAGTAAGTTTGTCCTTAATTCCAAGGTTGCTTCTCTCCTTGATAAGTTTCCATCCATTGTTTCTTCTCTTGCCTCCTGGTGCTTTGGAAAATAAATTGACCCCCTTTTCTTTGTGGCAATACTGGAACACTGCTATCATGTCACCCTTCACCCTTCTTTTCTCTAGACTAGCAATCGGTCTTGTATTTGTCCCCAGGCCTTTAATCATCTTTGCACTTTTTCCAAAGTCTTTTTTGTAACGTCGTAACCAAAACCTCCAGGCGTGGCCCTACTGATGATTTATAAAGCGATATTAATATTTCATAGGATTCTGATTGGAACATTTTAACATTCCTGTGAGGTTAGCCAATAGGCATCAGGGACTTGACACTGGGCTTACTTGACCAATGAGTGCATTTGCAGCTAAAGCGAAACGGGAGCTACAAATATCCCGATCAATTCTCTTAGCCTAGTCTATGGACATTCTCAGTCATCCAGATCATAATTGTCTGAAAGGCAACAATGTTTTTTCCAAGGAGGAGGAGGAGGAGATGGGAGGAAAGGGAGGGGAAGAAGAAGAGGAGGAGGGGAGAAGAAGAGGCGGAGGGGAAAGGGAAGGAGAGGAGGAGGAGGAGGAGGAGGAGGAGGA